GGGAGGCGAAAATATTCACATTCATAAAGAACATGAATCTATATCGTACTGGTGTATTAAACAATTTCAACCGCCAGTTTAAAAAAAATATAGCGGGCTTATATGGGCGTAGCATATGTAACAGATATACATAGCATTCTGATGTTCGGTTTGTAAGTACACACACAGGCACATAGGGAAACATTTGAAGATCCGGACTTTTGTGATCAAGAAACAACATTTCACGAATACAACGGCAACGTCACAGAAATATTGATGTTGTAACCTCATTACACCCATAATCAACGAATCGTATAGTTTGAGGTCTCTTCCCGATTCATACAAAATACTTGAGTGTGCGTCTTTGGAAGCAAGACTTGATATATTTTTGTCTTTCTTTAATGAAATGCTGCCTAAGGCTCTTACTGACTAAAAACCCGCCCGTTCCTTCTTTTGCTCAGGGCCGAGGTCGTGGTGTTTCATTGCGCTTACCCAAACTTAACATCAGCCCTATAGGGCCCCGGCTGTGGTAGTGCTCAGCCCAGGCAGGGCACCCCGCCACGATATCCTCTAGGTGGTCCTCACAGGGACGACACTCGGGCGCTCACGCTTAGTCCGAAACAGGAACCTACCGAAACTGCGTCAGGCGGAAGGTGAGGAAGAGGAGTCTTACCGTAAGCCCGCCCGCGAGACGTAGAAAATCCTCCAGTAAGGAAACGTTTAATTAAAAAAAAAACTAAAAACAAATCTAGGAGGACAAGGCGTTTTTTAAAGAGATTTTCTAATACCCATTTACTCATTTGTTACCGCTTACACAACACGTAGCCGGCAGCAGAATACTTTTGACGTAGTCATGTTCCTTGTTTATAGAGAAAATGTGTGATGCAACAATAATTTGGGGTCCAAATATTGATCCTACAGCGCACATATACTCATACTATTCAAATATTACGGGTTACGTGTATACTTACTTTGTGTATAGTAATATAATATTGCATCAGGTCCACGCATGTTCGTAATAAACTGATTTCTTTTTTTAAGTATAATATTCTTTTAGAAAAGCTTCGACTTAGGCACGAATGGGTCGGCTCGACCGGAGTGATACCACAGCTTCACAGAATACTGGCGACCACAGCGTTCTGTTTCGCCGTATGAGTGAGGTTACCGGAGGCCCAATCCCTCCCCTTCCCCTGTCCCTTCCCGATCCTCATGTTAACAACCCCTATCCCAAAAGGCCGGCAACGCACTCGTAACTCCTTTGGTGTTGCGAAAAACAAAGAATAAATATGTAAAATAAACCTAAAGAACAAATCTACCGTACTTATACGAAACGTAACGTATGCTGCTACATACGTAGTTGTGTAAAAGATATATATCTTCACGAAAACTAACTTTCTTTTACCCTTTAAGTATTTTAGTATTTTACTGTATACTTTGGTACGGTATTAATGTTGTTTAATACGGTGATTTTCTCCTGTGTCGTGGGTGCGTTTAAAACATACAATTTCACAGACATATGACACCCAGACCCGGAACAACAATTTGTAGATCACACAAAGTGTTGTTCCGTGCGGGAATCGAACCCGCGACACGTTGCGTGATTGCGTGGCAGTCAGTGACCCAGCCACCGCGACAACCCCGCAGTCTAATCACAGCCCTGCGTAATAGATGTGATGACAGTTGATAATAACAGTTTAGAAAACGATTGATCGCTCGTGTGCTTTTGAGATGTCGCAAAAGGAAATGGTTGAAGTCGCCGATTGTTCAGTCTCGTACTAGCAGCTTTTTGACACAAGAACTACTTACCTTCTATTGGATACTTGGATTTATTCAGTTTTTATGCGAAAAGAAAAATTCAAGTCTCGTCGTATAAACATTTATATGTCTATCTTTAAATAATGCAGCGTAGATACTCATAAGCGCATTATCAAATAATAACCACATTAGGGTCAGATAAAAACTTAATTCAAGTAAACATCAGGGCGTTATGTTGCCGGGGTTGTGGGGCAAGCGCAAAGAGGCTACGCGGCCTCGGCCCAGAGCTCCCTCCAGACCCTGGACGGGAGAATACATTTGACGATTTTCCCCTCACCAAGAAAAAGGTACAAAAAATACTTCATTTATTTTATATTAATGTTTAATTATTTTTTATTTTATACCTCTATTATACTACAGTAGTTATGCGTCCATTGCCAACCTTTTGGGGGTTAAATTTATTTAGTGTCTGGTTGGCTTAATTGTTGTTGTGAATTCAGTGTAAAATACTTCTAAGATTCGACATATTTCAAGGGTTTAATTTAGAAAATCCTCGTTAATAGAAAATCATTGAGAATGTATTAACGTAATAACATATTTTGACAAGCCCGCCATCTATCGGTGTATAGGTTGAATTAACTCCGTGGCGATCAATGTGAGCTACATCTCGAGAATTTTGAAATATCGAGTCTTTATTGAATATATTATAAGGGACTACCTACATGTCTGGCCAATACCAGGCAGAAGTGGTAAAACTCTCTAATTCAACTAGGAAATTGAGTTTTTAAGGTGCGATTTTCAATGAGATGACGGCAAATGTAGAGATCCATAGAATGTTGCATGCCTTTTCTATAAAAACAAATCTGCACAGCCTTCCAAAACTTGAATCTCCCACTTCAACTACTGTAGAACAGTGTCTACTAAAGATACAATTACAACGCACCTATGTAATTAACAATATACATCTTGATGACTTAAAATCTCTCTTGGATCCCGCAGCGAAATAAAGCAGAAAGTATTACCTAGAGAAGATTATTTTTTATGTACAGTGTTTCTAATAGGCTTACCTTGATCAAATCGAAGCAGCCAATAAGGTTGCATTAAAACATGAGATCGACCAAACAATTTTATGTTTATTTCATCACAAACTCATATGACATCTTTATTAAAGTAGGTAACATAATATCTTATTCAAAACAAAAAAAAAGTGTTATCTCAAAAATAGAGCAATAAATTTATTTACTATAATAGCCTTACCGAACTAATACTAATCAAATTTTAATTTACATTAATATATTCTTACATAATATTATTTATATAATTACATTTTATTGATATAATTTATCACGTGGTTTTGTTAGCCTACCTATTGTATACCTCGCCTACTATTTGTTGGAAAACGGTTCTAAGACAGGGCATCAAAAATTGTACCATCATATTGAATTATTATAGCCGATGCAATCTGATAATAAATAGTGGGATGGATTTTCATGAATTAGCACCTCGACAGATTATACTCAATGATGCAAAAAATAAAACGTTTTGTAAGTATCAAAATTGTTGATATAACCGATTTTAATATTGTGTTAACATTGCAATTTTGGTTCGCTCTGCCGAAGTCCTAATAGCATTCCATAATATATGTAGATATAAATATATTTTAGAATCTAACATAAATATTGAAGCATACGGACGTACCACTAGTGGGTAGCCTTGCTATAATATATTAATAAACTTATCCATAATACTAACTGTTCATCACGTTTAAAATTGTGAATGTGGTGAAAAAACAGAATTTTCCTCAACCGACACACTGTGCGAAAAATTACAATTTTAAACGTCAATGTGAAAATAGGTATACACAAGCCTAATTTATCTACGTATGTATAATATTGCTAAAATTAAAAAAATAATATTAATTCATTTGATCTAGTTACCTTACGATCAGATTCTTCTCACACTGTTTTAATCTATCGCAGGTGTTTTACAATATTAGTTCCAAAGAAACAAATTGTCTATACAAGACACGTAGCTGTCTCAGTGTGTTCATAACAATAATTAACAAAATATAAAGTTGATTAACCATTTTTATTTAACCAATGTTTATTTAATAATTATTTTAGTTCTGATATTCGTGTCAGATGGCGTTAAATTCAATTCTCGTTAATGCTGTTCCAAATAATGTAGATTTATCATTTAATCACCGATTGACCATGAATTAAATTCTATTTACTAATTTAACAAAAAAGTTTAGTTCGCCTTTTTAAGCTTGCAGTGGGAATATCAAAACATAAGCAATTTGAAACGTCTAACGCCATCTGGTGACACTCCAGCTAAATGAAAACTCAAATTTAATTTTATACCAATTAACTGGACAGAATTTTGTGGATCATAAATTATTAGATGCTGTGCCATGATTACACAATATTAATAATTTATTTATATAATAATATTTGTCGTTCTGAAAATTAGCAATAAGTTGTTCTCTGCCGTGCACTATGTTAAGTTAATCAAATATTTGGTGCGGTGGGCAACGTACCTCCATGGAACAGTATCGTTACCCTGCACGCGATATGCCAGTAAGTACTTAGAATGTTTTCCATTAGAACCTTTTACAATATTGACACAATTTTTAAAGTAACTAAAGTCCAGCTGAGAAAGTTTGTAAGGTTAGTTGCACACAAATAAAATGATCATAATTTTAACTTTGAGTGTACATCCTATAAAGACTTTAACGCCAGTATAAGACTTATTATAATATTTTATATGTGCAGCAAGCCTTACAATCAATATCATTGTCATTCGTACATAAAATTTTAGCCAGGTTCTAAGAATCCATGTACATTGTTAAAAATATTTATAGACAATGGAGTCAAGAAATAAACGTAATAAGCAGATCTAAGTATGGCTTCATTGTACATCGGTTCAACCAATAGTAACGCCTCCTTTCGTTGGTAAATCGACGAAAATAGGCAGGTGTTAACAATAATTTGCAAATTAGATTTAAAAAAAAAATATATCGATGAGAAATATAACAATCGATTCCACATTTCAATTTGAAATCGATTGTATTTTGTTTTCTATTCGCTATGGCATTAATGTTTTCATTTTACAGTTTATAAAAATCTAAATGAAACAATATCTGAATAACATTTATCAAAGACTGTCAGAAGTGTTCGTCACTCAAGGATCGGCCCACATAGTGTACTTTAAAACTTGAATTTTACCAAAAACATATACGAACATAAACATTACGAGATTAATTTGTCCTCCGCTAAACGGATTTGTACATTCAAAGCACCACACTGTATGAGATTCTTATTTATTTCATAGTTTAAATATGGGCCTCGCCACACGTTGCAGTGGTCACCAGCAACAATAGTAGCAATTAACACGTTTCCTGTTTAACCACATGTTTGTACTTGTAAAGTCTTTTCAATTTTTTCACTCCTCTTCCAACTTACAGTAACTTAACTATTGGATACATAAATAGCACTAATTACATTCGAGATTACAATATGGATGTCATTATCATTTTGTACATACCTTAAAGTATGGCAAAATTAAATATATGTGTGTGTGTATGTGGAGGGGGGTATAGCCTAGGCTGGTGAATGAGGCTTTGTATTTCTTGGAGTTTAGACATCGGTTCGAAGTGGCTGTGGGTAGGGCTCTGCCGCTGTGCCCAGCAATCCGTCGGTAATGGCTTACAGATGTGTAATAATGATCTCATCATCAATTTCATCCTTCTCGTCGTCTTCTTCTGGTGGCTGTTTAGCGGCCTCGGCGGCGATGGCTGGGTCTTCGGCGATGGCTTTCAGACGGCGAGCCTGAGTACAAAACATGATATTAATATTCGATTCAATATCCCCTGTATCTTAGGTAATTTTTACACATCTGAATTGCAGAGTCATTTCTGAGCAGTATACAACTACTTACGTATATGGATAAATATTTTTTGACTAGTGTGAAATAAGAAACAAAATATGAAATGAAGTTACGCACGAATTCCACACAGTCTGTTATTTGTGGCCAAAAATATTATTTAAATTAGCTCTTTTATGACACGCTATATAAACAGCTTGTGGACAATAGGCTATTCATATTTTATGTTAATGCAATTCGGGTTTAAAATATTTTATGGAGATAAGCACAACAGTGTCAAACACAACACTGAAATATTAAGTACATGAAAATTACGTCCTAGGCGAGAGCCTTAACCAGTATGCATTACCAGTGCCAGCACAGTTAATAGATAACAGAAAAAACAAATGAGATTTAGAAAAAAGTTAGTACTAACTCGTAAAAGAAAGTTTTTCAAATTGAACCTTATTATTCAATCATATTTTTTAAGATTCGCACACTTTCTTTTTTAGTTAGGCCTCTTTTATAATGTGAAATATATTTTAGGGCTAACAAATTTTAGTTGAAGGTAATAAATATTATTATAAGTATAGATATTGTCTAAATATTTATAAAACTGACCTTTCGCTTGTGCAATATTTCAACAACGATGTATCCAGCTACTCCGATTAGGAGCATCACCATCATGACGTATAACTTCATTCTGGCGCAGAGATGGGTCGAGTAGGCGTATGCGATGACGAATCCTGCAGACTCCCACAGACGGTAGTTGGAGAACGCAGCCTCTTTGTTACGTCTGAACAAGACACCGTACAACCCTGGAATATAGAAATCATGTATTTATTATTAATCTTTATACCTATTTAAGAAATTTTTAAATGTGTCACGTGTTTGTCCGCGATGGACTCCTAAACTACTAAATCAATTTTAAATTTGATTTGCATTCCGTGTGCATTTTGATCCAACTTGAAAGATAGGATAGCTTACATATCAATTTATAGTCACAATATTATTTTATTGCAAATTATTTGTCCATATGTAATGTGACAAGAACCTTAGCCACAGCAACGCGTGGCTGGTTCAGCTAGTCTCCTGTGTTCCGTTATTATAATGAAAATAACAATAATAATGACACAGGAGAAAATAAAAATGTACGGTATGAATCCAAACAAAAATAAATACAAAAATAAACTATACATAGAAAAGATTGTCGCGTTATTTATAGCACAATGTTACTATTATTTAGCGCAAGAACGGCTGAACCACTTTTGTTGAAAATTGGTAGGGAGATAGTTAACATCTGGAAAAGGACATAAGATAGAGTAGAGTAGGTAACGAGGTTAGGTAGTGTAGGTAATCAAATGACGGGAGCGAAGCCGCGGGTAAGATCTAGTATGTGACATAATTCAGTTTTCATCATCAATAAAATCTACACGGTCCAAATTTTAAAACTGAAGCCTTTCAACCTTTTCGAATGGGTACCTTCAATAATTTTTCGCTTTGTATTTCTCATTAAAATCACGGTTACATATGGTAACGGATAATTCCATGGGTTTAGAGCCAGGGTCACTACAACAATGGGACAGTGGCGTAATTGACCAGAAGTATTAGCACCGTAAGTTCACTCAGCTTGCCCTGGCGGGGAATAACATGCGTGTACATGGTTATTATTATATGGTATTGAGATTTACGCATGTTTGCAATTACATATATACGTCACAAACTCGTTAGTACTAGTAAACACTAGTCCATTTATTCATGGTGTGAGTGAAAATAATTTACTGTTATAATATAAATTTTAACATGTTGCAAGTGAATTGTAATGAAATTCTTTGGACTTCATTTGGGAATTTATATACAAACTAGCTACCCTCACGCGGTTTCAATCGCTGCTCGGCTCCGTGTAAGCGTAGCGTGATGTTTTATAGCCTATAGCACTCAGGAACATTGTAGCTATCTATCAATTAAATTAAAAAGAATTTGGCAATCCGACCAGCGGTTCCTAAGATTACCCCCTATAAACAAACTTACAAATTTTACCTCTTAGTCGTATGGGAATGTTAAATTCAGGATTGATGTAGATTTGGAAAGTGGAAGAAATAATAGAACTGTACCTAATCCCTTACCTAACAAAAGATCGAATCCTGTTTTGAAACCCTTTTTTGTAGGTAGTGCTTAAAACACCTTGTTTATATTTTCAAATAGCTGATAAAATTGACTCATGCAGATGGCGCACGTAATTTTTAATTACATTATTACTTGAATGGCGGAATGCATGAGAAACAATTACCAATAGAATAAGGCTCCACGGACTGATAAAAACGTGTTTCATTCACGTGTTATGGAAGTAGCGAAGCGATGAAATAGTTTTTATATACATTGCGCTGTATTAGCGCGGTGGCAGTGAGATTGGGTTTTAATAATGGCATGAGATCTATTCGTCTTATATATTTTTTCTCCTAAATCCTTTGGATTCCCTGTTATATAATTTTAGTTTTTGTACATTATACCATTCTTTTATTTTCGATATTTTCTATTTATTTCGAAAGAAATGAGATAAAATTAATACACGGACGTTTTTGTATCAAATACAACTTGTGTATAAATATTATATAAATTCGATTTTTTGTTATGTTAAGTAAAGAGTTCGATAACTTTAGTCTAACCTCATAAATGGAATGTGAAGGCACTTGAGGAAAACAATCAGGCGACCTAACGTGCCTCTCGATTCTCCATCGTCATTTTACAATCGCGATACATTATATTTTTATATTCGATTCCTAATCCTTAATGGCTTTCGGGATAACGTTTTGCCTGGTTATTGTAACTTGAAACCAGTTTAAGCTACAGAACCAAATGTCATTATGAACAGATTTTTTTATCGGATTTCATAGTCACTAACCATGAAGTTTTTATATTAGGATAGTGATAATTACCTGGCTATGAAAGAATAAGAATTATTGACTAACAAAAATAATCTCTTTAAGTAATGCACTAGGTAGGAACCAAAATAATAGAATATTATCTGATTGCCAACATAGCGTAACTAATTTTATTAAAAAAATGTTTGAGGAAGAAAAGATTTCAACGAGTTGTCCTTAACGTTAAGAATTTGAAATGGTTATTGATTGGCATAATACGGTTTTCGACAACTAGACTTAGGTATTGTCTAGTTATTGTAAGTATTTTATCACAATGATAAAAACGATATGTAATTTTCTTTAATTCTGTATTACATACACACTTGTGACGTCATTAATTCATTATATTTCATAAAGTAGAATACTAATTTTTTAAAAAGTATGTAGAAATATTTGAATATGAAGTATAAAGTCAAATCACGAAAAACTAACCCGAGACCGTCCTTGGAAGCATTGCCATAATAGATCGTTCAGGGATAGTCGCTGCTTTGTTTTTTATTTGATTTAGGTAAAGGATGTCTAAAGGCAGGGGGAGATTCTACGCTGTTGGTTTCAAAACCGCGTACGTTTTTCGGACCACGTGGTCCCATGATTAGAAAAACATACTTACTTAAAAAAATAATGATAAAAACCCGACCGCTGTTTTTATGTACATTAGTCTGCGCTTATTTCGCGCAAACTGATAAGAATCAAGTAACGTTTTTACATCTTCAGTTCCCACAACAACGAGTAAAAAACTAATTCATAAAGCAATAAATTGTATCTGCTATACTGCCATACATATTCATATCCGATAATGTGAGCTAGCGTAGCATACAATTAAATCGACTGTTCCAAGCTAAGGGTGATCACAGACGAACAAAAAAGTAAATCTGCTATATAAAATTCTCGTATCACAGTTTTCATTGCCATAGGTACCTACTCCTCCGAAACGGCTTGACCGATTTTGATGAAATTTATTGTGCTTATCCGGTATCTATGAGAATCGGCCATCATCTATTTTTCATCCCCCTAAATGTTAGGGGTACTCCCTAATTTAATTTTTAATTTTTAGACAACATTTTTATTTTCTATTTTTTTATGATACAAAAATACATACAATCCTCAATTTCCACCCTTCTACGATTAACCCTTATTTTAATGTGGCAAAGCCACCTGGCAAGTACCAATGTGAGTTTTTCCGAGTTAAATGTACTTTGTAAGTTTATTTAGACATCCACTGAAAACCAGTGAAGGGACACATTGTAAGACTAATTTTAAGTCTCAAATCGTTCATCCGCCTTCAGCAAGCTTGATAATTAATACTCAAACATATGCGTGTGATGAGACTCAACAGTGAGCTCTTGTAGGCTTGAACGATGAACAAATAAATAGGTTTAATATTTTCCTTTAAGAAGTAAATAAACTAAAAACTATTAATAGCACTACTTCTTATCTTCTCTTACTAGATTTTTTGTTATCCATTTTACACCTATCTTTATACCTTTATATTTTATATTTTATACCTTTCTATCTCTAACAAAATGAAAATGTATAAAGAGTACTTATTAGAACTGTAGGGATCTTTAACATTATACTAGTTTGATCTTATGAACCTTTATGAATACTTTATGAATATACTTGAAGACTTATCGTCGTGTTACATTACATTTGCATTTGTCTATTTAGCGTGACCCACGATATTTATGAGGATGCTTCTTAAGTAAAATAGAAGTTTGTAAACATTAGCTTCAGACAGCGGCTTTGTCTGCGTTTCCCTGATCAAAAGTAGCCAATAATTTGTGCCAGACTACCTATAATCTATCTCTGAGCTAATTTTCATCAGTATTTATTCGATAGTTTTAAGTGACAAAGTAACTAACATCATTTATTTATTTACATAGACCACAGGTGTTACCAGATATAATAGTGGTGAACAGTTCAGGCCGTATTCTGCCTACGTTAGGCATCCATCCATTTATAGTTACAACTTTTCGTGTTTCAATGTTAGTAGGATAGATAATGTGTAAAAGTAAAGAAAATATATACAAAGAGAAAATACGAGAACAGTAACATATTCAATGATTTTAAATATAAAGTGCAACTTACCGTTGATTTGAGTCTGCCATACAGCGTCACCCACGCCCCAAAGACCAGAAATGATGAAGAAAGTCGTCGGGGATTCGGGGCTTGGTTTCCAAATCAGGAGCCAGACGATCAGACCCAAGTGGAGGGCAGCTCCCATCACAAGTATTGGGAATCTGCCGATGTACTTCATGGCAGATCCGAAGACCAGAGAGCAGATGGCGTTGACTACTCCAAAACAGATCATCACGTAGCCGATTGATCGGATACCAAGAGCACAGGAGACATAGGCCTAGAAAAAAATGTATTTTATACATAAAGAAAATTTATTGGTGTTTTTCTTTATGAGCGTTTTTTACATAGTTTATTCCTATTTCTTACTTGTGGTATTTTTAATCGCATACCACAGACAGAGTTTTAATACAAAACCAAATTTTATACCAGTTCTCAATAAGCTGATGTCTTTTCATTTTAATTGAGTTTTTAATCTATCTTATGAAATACTAATAACAATTGAACAGTGTATTCCTGTATAATAAAGCTAATACTGCAATATTTTACGTTCACCGTACATTTTACATAACATTAGTAAACATTACACTACTTTGCGTGCGCAGTAAGGTAAAAAACTTTGTAGCTGTTCCGTTTCAACTGAATAGAACTCATTTACCTAACATCCTATGTATAACGGTAGTCGTAACTAACATTAGAGGTCATTCTGTCGCAAAAAATGTTCAACGCTAATTTAGACACGTGATTACAGCTTCAAATGAATCTCTATGCAAGGCTAATAACAAAACGTGTGGATTGAGGATCTTTTTGAGATGTTCTAGCTGTTGTTGAGTCGGGCCACTATTCCATCATGATTTATAAAGCTTACCAATTTATATGCTTCATAATTACTTCTCCTGAAAAGAAGTAAATGCCGAAGCATGTTGCCTGCATGCTAATAAAAATTGCAGAAAACAGTGGTATATAGTGGTCGGACTACTACGTCTACTTTTGTAAATATTTAACGTCACGTAACTAAAACCTCAAACCAATGATCATTTATGTATTGCGTCTAAAATACTTGATTATCAAGTAAAATAACGATATCTCTGTATGTAAATCTGTTCTGTTTGTAAAGAAACATTTTCTGTCTGCTTGTATTATGTAGGTATTTATTTTGTGATTTAATTATAGCGTACTGTCTGCTTTATTACTGCTAAGACAATGGTAAATTTATTCTAGGAATTATTTTTAATGAAATGAATGGTGTTTGACTCGAATGCTTCATTTTAACATCTTTAACATTAAGAAGCTTATTTATAAGGTTTTATCAATATATTTTTGATGGCGCTGTGATGCAGCTGTTAGCTACGTGTCACGGGTTCGACACAGAACCACTCTTTATGCGATCTATAAATTATTGTTCCTGGTCTGGGTGTGATGTGTATGAAAGCATCCTCGACACAGGACAAAATCTAAATGTGGAACACCATTTTAAAATAAAAATAATTCTATGCTTCTCTCTATAAAGAATAGATAATTTAGATTTGTATATTTATAATAATTACTATTTTAAAAATCTACCTGTGTGTAGTCAGCTCCAATAAAGGCTTGTTCCATTCCGATCCATAATGTAATGGGGATCAACAACTGTTGGTTTGGTTTCTTCAACTGGTAAGCGGTCGCAGAAAGCAGCTGGATTCCTGTGAGCTCCTTAGAGGGGTCCGACTTTCTTTGCTTTTCACCATACCTGAATAAGGAACAACACATCAGTTTTACGAAAATGCAATAACAGTATGTGCGAGTAAATACTACTTATTTACGTTAGTCGGGAAACTTCCTTGTGTTTCTTCCATGGATACGGGAGTAGAGTCGTACACTTAATATGAGAAAGGTCACTAATTCATGGTCATTTTATATATTCAAAACATTTCTGCTGGATAATCTTTGATTCGTACCAGCAGGAGCAGAATACCACCTTTTTATCGTAAGTAGTAAATTGACATATTTAAAACACTGCGTGTTGCGGGATGCTTGCAATGCTTAGAATACAAAGTAAGTTTGATAAGTTAATATGTTCTTAGTGTAATACAAAAAATAGCAATAAAGATGCCATAAACCAAATTGTCAAGAATCTCAGCAGAATGACAAAATCCAGGCAACTTCAGGTGGTCTATTAAGACAATGTATAAATAAAAGTTTAATACTAACGTGATATAAGTACTAGAGATATGTTTAAACCCCGACTTTTATATGTTGTTTTTATTTTGGGGACAGCAGTAATTTCTTTATAAACAATCTCCAAAAGTATAAAATTTTGGCTCAAAGATAAGTAGGAGTGCAAATATTACCTTGAGAGAGGGTCTACAAGGAGGGCCACCATAAGCACGGCAACGACGACACAGGCGAGGTATATGGCACTGATCTCATATATCTCGCTGTCTGGCGGCCGGTGTAGGTTCTGGTTGTCATGGTGACCACCGCCAATCATACAGAAGTTGGCTCCGCAAGTCAGAACTGTCTTGCTCGAGTTGTCGGTCGTCGAGTTGGTGCTGTGGACTCCCGATGAAAATACTGTCGAAGAAAGGACGGTGCTGCATTGTAAGGATACGATCAGAGCCTTAGTTGACTCGGGTTTTTTGGTCAAGTTATTTCAAATATATATTAAGTCTGTATGTATTGTTATATTTTGGTAAAAAATAAATTTGAAATAAAACTAAGTAAGTGGACTCACCTAAGCTGGAGATTAAATTGCCCCAAAGCTCAGCCGTTTGCCAAGCCAGGAAGAAGAAGCCGAAGAATCGTACTATAATGCCATCAACGGCTTGATCTGTCAGCTTCGCGTAGACACTTCCTGCTTGCGTCAAGTATGTAGCTTTAGAAGTCCACATGGGCGCTGCTCCTAACCCGACCACTACACCCGCTGGTACCAGAGTATAGAACGCCGGGTAAAACTGTGCCCCGATGTATGGGGCGTAGCACATCATGGATATGCACAGGGTCCATTTGACCGTTAGCCTCTTAATTAGGAATGTGGGTACAAATATACAAGAGACGACGAGAGCCGCGTAAATCGAACTCAGTGAAACTGTTCCGAGACCATCTGCGGCGTTTATTGAGGACTGCAAGTTGGCAGTTCCCTGGAAGGCGGTGAATTGGATCATGAACGCTGCACTGACTGCTGCAATGTTCTTTAGTATTCTCCATTTTTCGTTGACGCTTAATTTAACTTTTCCAGACATATAGTTGTCGTCTTCAGCTGGTAGCGGTGGGGGTTTGACAATGTCATCGTTCGAGTCGCGGTCGTGCTGGTAGCCGTCGTTCTTAAATCCTGTCTTGATCGTGTACACGGAATCCTTGTCCGGACGATCATCTTCACGTCCGCCGCCGTGCGTAGCCGTCATGCCGTGGATCTCCTGTTGCCCTGAGAACAAAGAAATAACAATTAATGTAAAGTTTTACTGCCTCAATTTGTTGGTGTTAACTAAACCTGCACAATATTCTTAATATTAACGCATTATCTGTATTTTAACACGACTTTTTCAGCTTTGATTTACAACCTTATTTTTTTGTAGTGAATACAATTCTTGTTCGTATTAAACATCATTACATGATTATTTTATTGTTGAATACAAAAATATTGGTATGCAGACGGCGGCTGGGACTTAAAAACTTAAGTAGCATGTTTACAAAAACGTAACGTGATTGATATTCTTGATTTTTCAGATTTATTTTAGCGTATATGAATGTCAAGAATTTGAAAGGTTTATTTGTTTATTTTGTTAGATGGGTTGTAATTTGTTTGAATGGTTGTCCTGACAATATTTCAATTAAATATCGTGGTTTAAAAGTATGCTCCGAAACAGTACACGATCGCTTTATCAGTATTGTACAAAGCGTGTCTACTACGCCGTTCGGTGAAGATTTTTGTGAAAATTACAATTTGATCCGCATACAGCAGTACAATGGCCAACTTCGGCTGAGTACATATCGCCCTATTGTTAGTTGGGTTTCGTCATGACATAATCATCACGTTTACACCGAGTGCGCCTCCCATCTGAAAAACTACAGCTTCAAAATAGCGTCTGTTTTTATATGATTGACGTCGGACAAAACTAAATTACAGGTTATTGATACCTTTAGTAGTAACCTCTGAGTTGAGAGATGCCTTTTCAAATAGTCTGGGATTTTTCAAGGTGTTCAAAATGAGTCGAATAATGAGAACATCTGCTATTTAGTGTCCCCTTGTGCGAATGTCAGTTGAATAAAGCGTGAAGAAAGTTCTTGTAGTTGTCATCCGTCAATACAATTGTCGGCAGTCGCTATCGGTCACCGACACCAGGACGCTACAGCACGAATTATGAAAACAACGAATGGAGTTTACAAATATTCTCCTCTACATATAGCGACGTGCGTACTACGCGGGGTAGATATAAGATACAAGTCTATTTGGAGGCGAAGGAGTCATTACATATATTTACCTTAAGTTATTATCTAAAATATCCTTTGTTACGTCGTTAGCATTGACTCTATCTTATCGGACAGTCGTCTTATATAGGTAAATACTTAAACTACTTTTATAGTTGTTTGAATGCCATCTTTTAGTATGCAGTTACCAAGTTTAATGGCGGACCGAGTACCTGACATGGAGAGCGCGACTAAATGGAGGAAAGGCCAACGTGGCGGACACGTTTCAATGTAAATTATACAAGTGTAAAACATGGCTCCCCCAGCCACGGTTCGGCACGAATGGGTCCGCTCGATCGGACGGAATGATGCCAAAGCCCTACAGAAAATCGGCGTAAAACAACCATGCGTGGTTTTTTGCTGTGTGGGTTATCTTACCGGAGGCCCAATTCCTCTTCCTCTATCCATTAATCTCCGAAACACTCACCCCTATAAGTAACGTGGATTGAAAAATCATAAATAATAAAATTTACAAAAATATGTATTAAGTATAAAAATCTTAATTTTTTCTCTACACATCGATTTAGTACAATACTTATTTGTTTAAGTGACTGTGTTGACGATGGCAATGGCACCTGTTTCTTTAGTTATACATGTATGTACATCTGTATTTCATGAATAATCACAAAAGTGAGTCAGTGATCGTCCCCTAATATATCTTTCTATTGGAGTATTCATAGCTATATTTTATTATATATTATGAATAAAGATGTCCGAGGATAATGAGTTGATGTTGCTATTATGTTTAATGTGATCGACCACTTTGTATAACGATAAACGTTTTCTTAAGATGACTGGTGATTAAGTTGGATAAAATTAATAGAGGCCAGAAAAAAAATATGTGTTATTTTTCTTAATATTTTCATAGAGGTGGTTTACAAGGAGGTTTATAACTGTTAGGCAGAGTCTGTGGTGCGACAGCGCTGTTAATTTCGAAATGAGTTCGCATATATTCCGGTCATGTAGTAGACACCCAAATCGAATAGCTATCGAATGCCCCATTGTGCAATTTAATGACAGCGTACAGCGTCTGTTTGTTGTTTAATTTGTAACACGAGTTATTGTTGCCTGTACTCATTGTCAAGTGGTGGAGGAACACTGTAAACACAGCGTACTTGGGCAACGACTTACAGAATACTGTCACGTTGTAAAACTACCTTATTTGTCCGATTTACTTCAAAAATTGCATTATCTCAAAAGCCGATATTGAAGAAGTCAAGTTAATAAACAGCTAGATAATTCAACAGCTTGTATTAAGAGACGTATTACACGTATGTACATATATTCGCCTGCCTGAATCGCTGTCTGGCTTCCTGTGCTTACTTAATTCTAAAAAGTGAACTGGTAAGCTGTATCTATTCCAATATTTCGAAAAAATATTCCTTAATATGCTATAATGTTTCATTTTGTCTTAGTACCAATAAGAAAATAATTAATTAGTCAAAGTGTTACGGTTTCGTATTAAAATTATTGAAGACATAACATACGAGTATCTGTCCGTCTTCCATACACATTATAAATTCAACTTACCAGTGTTTTTCCTCCAATCAAATGATGAGGAAATTTTAATAACGATTACGACTTTGCATTATAAATATGGAACTTTTATAAATAAGGGTTAGAACACAATAGTCAAGTGGTTCCTAATAGTTTTCCGCCTGCTATGACTGGCTAGATAATAATTGGATTATAGTCCTAATGAATGTCGACCCATTGTTCTATCTGTTTCTTCTCATCGTACATTTGTTACAATACGTGCTGAAGAATACGTCATCACATGTGATTGCTGCGGCCACGTGATTAGTATGTACGGTCCCTTAATCATTGTTCCGGATATGTCAAGCGGCCATTTTGGATTTTATTTTATTTTTTTCGTTTTATTCTCGATCGCCGTCAAATGTCTAGAAAGGCCAAAAACTGATCTGTCCACTTTCATTTCGAGTTATGAGTAGTACTCTGACGTATGATACTTGCTTGACGGGGTAGAAGAAGTATGAATGTTAATAAAACATAATGGATTGTACACTTTCTTATACATCTAGGTAAAGAAAAAAGTGTTATAATGAAAAAAAAAAAAAACTGAAGGTAAAACATTTGTTCCTATAATTTGAGATGTTACAATTTTGGATCAAACATTAAGAAGGATAAAGTCACGTTAAAATAGACGATCAATACATAGCGTATGTAATAAAAAAATACCAAGTAATTACCTGTTATGATTGTGCAGTACATTTTAATTTAACTTAAATAAATAAACAGGCTAACAAATTCATTAAAAAAGGTTTATTATTCATCTATGTATGTATGTACGAACCTTCCTCCAAATAAGAATCACTATCGTCAATTTTGTTTTTGAAATATTCATTTATGTAGAAAAAAGCCGAAATTTTGAACTTAAACAATAAATAAAATAGGAAATATTTTTTAAATAAGTACAATAAATACTTCAGTGTGAGTAAGAGAAAATATTATATATGTATAAAACTAGTAACCGTCAGTGAGTTCACTGAGCTACAACATAGGCTCCTAAAATGATAATGCAACGCAATGTCGACACTGCATACCGCGCCCATGTTGTCACCAAAGACGTGAGATAAAAATGTCCTGGGTCGACTTGGAATTCTGTTATTACAATTGCCAGGAAGCTTTAAAGCACGTTCTCAGATTATTCTGACAAAATAACACGAAATAAAGTAATCATCTTAAGGCCACGCCATTTCAAACAGGATTCAATATTTGTACTGGAATTCTTAACGAGAGCGGTTTTCCTCACATTTTATTGTTCTCAGTATCGCTCTCTTATTGGTACCTAGAAATATTAGCATATGCCAAACTAAAGTGGGTGTATTTATATGTGGATTATTGTTTTACCTCCGTTTATAAGCTGTAGTTGTGTACACTACCTGTATATCCATACACTAAATCGTTTGCAATATAAAGAACAAAAAACAATTCAATACACCCAAAAAAGCAAAGCTGAGAACAAACCAGTACAAACAATGTAATCATAAGGTATCAAGTTGATTGCTATTTACAACGACAGATATTCCCACAGCGGAATCAGTGAACTTGTCAAAACAATGCTTCTATAAATAAACGTATCGAGAACCGACTAGCAGACAAAGGGAGGCTATTTCCCGAATTACGTTTGCAAAAAGTGTATCGCAGAACTATGACGAGGGCAGTCCTCGCGCTTCCCACGACCACAAAGCGAACGCGTCAATCAGATGTTCGTCAATTTTCACTTCCGTTGCTTCCACCCCGTCATCGTGCCATAATGAGGTTTGTCAAGGCTGTCGGCTAAATTGCTCCCTGTCATGTCCACATAATAAAGCTTATAAAATGCCATTGTCAACCGTTACTGTAAAGAGCATGATTTTGGTGTGATGTTCGCGGCGTTGTCCGCTGTGTGGCTCTCTACCTGCAGGGCCTTGAATAACTACTCATGTGGCAGTTTGATTACACCTCTCTAATTTTGCATAGCGATGAGCCTCTCATAATATTGATCATATTTTAACTAAATTTGGAAGTCCTGCTGCAGCCACGAGTGTTGAACTTAACATAGTATAAATTTCTCGAATTTGAGAAAGATTAGAATAGTGTAATGGATAAGAATAATAAGTATCGTGTTTAACATTTTCAATGTAAATTCTACAAGAATATTTTATTGTAAACTGCATCGCATCGTAATTGATTTTTACGGCATTTACCGATATTCGATCAAGTTCAAGTCAGAATAACCACGTTGATGCGAATTTCGTCGGTACGAATCGATTATTGGCAGAATCATGGTTGAGCTCACTATTGTAATTAATTACGAATTACGTTATAACCTAATGGCTATATCTGTGGCTAATGTAAATTTACTGATGTTCAGCCTTCATCGAGAGACATTTGTCTTCTCGAAGCGACCTCTATTACAGCATAAATGCACTCTGTATTAGCATAATTATAAAT